GAAGTGCCTTTTAAGTTTTGTATTGATTTGAAAATCGTAAAAATTTGAAGTTAAGTTGAAGTTGCCATAAGGGCTCATTCACTTACAGATACTCTATATTATTTTAAATAAAAATATATATTATTTTTTGGTAGAATATTTAAAATAATATTCACCCAATAAAAATAAAATATATTTTATAGTAATATTACGAAAATATATATATATACACATACTCGAATGTATATAATACATATTTCATATATTCATAAAAACTCAATAAATTTAATACAAATATTATTTTTATATTATATTATATTATATATATATATATATATTTTCACATCTTATATAAAAATTACAATTCAAACTAAGAAACTAAACAACCATGAATGTGTTCTTTTTGTATTTTTTGGTGTATGTACATGTTTTTTAAATTAGATTTGAATAATTGTGTCAGTAATATAAAACTAATACTCCATTTCATGTCAATACAATAGTCTTGTTTAATTTTTGTCCGTCCCAAAACAATAGTCTCATTTTCATAAATAATCATATCATTGTAAAACTACATTTATTTTTTTATTATTGTTACACAATTGTGACTACTTTTTATACTAATATACTCACAAGGGCAAAAAAATCTTTTACCCGTATTTTTTATCCATTACCAATAAAATATCAATATTACTTAAATACCATGTCAAATACAACCTAGATTATAATTTTGCAAAGGAAAGAGTATCATATTGAGTTATTAAGGGTCTGTTGTGTTTGTTTGAGGGTTTGGATTTTGAGTTGGGATTTGAATAGTAAAAATTTTGAATTTGAATAGTTGTATGATGTGATATAAATAGGTGTTGATGTGATGTTTTGAATGTAAAATTGATTTTTAGTATAATATAAAAAATGAAAAATAGGTGTTTGATTTGATGTTTTTGGGGGAAAAAAATTGGATGAATAGTGAAAATCCACCAAAATCCTTCAAACAAACAATTATAAAATTACTGTACAGTTATTGTTGTACGACAAACTCCTCCTTACCTGACAAGGGCTGCAGGTTGCAGCTCTAGCCTTTTTTATTTTTTTACAAATATAAAAGATAAAAAACTTGCAAGGCCGTGTAAAAATTCAGCAAATCAATTATTTGATTAATATAATAATTATAGTTTAATAAAATAGATACAATATATATAATTTTATAGAGAATAAAATTTTATATTATAAAAATAAATAAAATTTAAAATATTTTTTTCATTTCAATGTAATTGAATATTTTTATTAGTAATACAATATTTAAAGAAATAATATTTAATTAGTTAATAATAATTAATTATAATATTATTTTTATGTAATTAATAATATTAATAATTTTATAAATAAATTTAATATATATAATTAAAAAATTAGAATATGTATTTAAATATTTAAAAATTCTATTACAATAAAAAAATATAAAATATGAATATTGTTTTGTAGAGAATAAAATTTTATGTAATAAATAATTAATATAAACTAATTTTATAAAAGATGATGTGTTTTAAATGTAGATAAAAATAGAGTCATTAGAATGGATTGAGTCCGTCGAGTTGGCCCGTCCCGCCTCACTTTTAAAGATGGTTGAGTTGTGATTTTTTAAGCCTGTTAAAATGCTGGCCTAAACGGGCCAACCCATGCAGGCCGTGGGTTAAAAGTGGATTAGCCCGCAGACCAAATAAATATAATAATTAGTACTCACGTCTCAATTAAATGTATTTTTTTTACAATTCTTTACTGTCACGTTAAAAAATTATAATAAAAATAATTAAATATTAATATCATAATATATTATAATTTTATATAAATTGCAAATATACCATTATAAATATAATTAATTTATAAATAACGTACAAAAAGTAAAAAAAAAATATCAAATAATATTGTACACGTTATTTAATAATAACATATTATTATTTTTAATCTACTGATAAAAATTATTTTTAGTTAAGATAAATAAACTAAAATTTATATTATCATTAGCTTAAGTAAATTAATCAGTGTTGCCTACACATTGTTTTTCTTATCTAACTTTGTTATCAATGTCACTCTTAGTTGTTTCGATTTTTTATCATTTATTTTATTCGTCTTTTATTTTGTTGTTTTTATAATTGTTTTATTCTATAATCTATTCACAAATTTCATAAAATTAATTATGATTTATTTTTAAAATATTTATTATTATTAATTTTTTAAATACACTAACTAATAATATTTAGAATTGTTAATTTTTATATTTGTTATTTATTTTAAAATATTTATTATTTAAGTTCTATAATAAAACTAGTTTTAGCTATTTTTAATTAGGAAAATATTTTTAATATAATATTTTTTTAAATGTTTTTAGAAAGTCTGTGGGCTAGCCTGCTTATCTCGCCACCCGTTGGTGGGTTGGGTTGAATTGATGAAATTTTGATCCGCTCCGCCGGGTATTGATCCGCAAACAACATGTTTATTTGGAGTTATGGTGGGCTGTGGACCAATCTACCCCGCTAATTCGTTTTGATAGGTCTAGATAAAAATATTAATTTTTCAGAGGGGATAGAAATAAATGAGTTTAGCGTGTTCGACATGATTTATGATGTTATACGTTATGTAGTTAAAATAGAAAAGTGTAACAAACAAAAATGAAAAATATCAATTGTTATAACATGGTAAGAATATATATTTAGATATAGTATAAATTCATACTCAGATCATACAATTATTGCTTTTTAAAATTAAATTTAATACACATTTATATTATTATATTTATTACCCATAAAAATTAATACATATAAAAACTCTCAAAACTGAAACTAAATCTACACATAAAAAACACACACAAATTCAAACATATCTTAAAAATTTCAAATTAAATCCAAACTCAAACTTAATTTTTTCAAACCATTAATAAAGAAACACACCCTAACTTTTTATAAAGGGAGTGCTGGACTAAAATTCCTCTCAGTTTAATGTAGTTGCAATTCAGTCCCCATTGTAAATTAATTGGACTGTAGTTCCTATTTTATGGATTAGATATGTTATAAATTCCTTTTTGTATTTTCCACTCAATCACCGTTGTATATGCAACATGTACTTACGATTGTTTAATAAATACTTCCAATTTTATAATATATACATACATTACCTTATGCTCTACCCTCATTATACGATTAGATACTTCAATTTAAATACCACACACCTTATTTTGTGATTTTTTTTTTGAAAAAAGAAAGAAAATACGCACGATTTAAGAGCTGAAACCTCCCATAATTTTCCTCACTCCCCGTCTAAGCCCTAGTTCTTTAAGAAAATCGACCTCGCGAACCTCTCGACGATCAAGCAGAAACACATTCGTTTATCGAAATGGTGAGGGAAACAGCCAACCCTCCGCGATCCCCCAAGACTAGTTCAAAAAGGTAAGTGTCTGGTCGAAGGCCCTTTCGATTTATGATTTTGTTGACAATCAAATTTTATAACGTAGTTTATTTGATTATTTGGGGTAGAAGCCTTGGTCCTATGTTTCTATGTCTCTGTTCGGTGATGAGGAGCCCTGGGTGTTCGGTGTTGTGTTTGTTCAATGAGTTTGAAATTGTTCGAATTTTTGGCTAGGAAACCCGGTTCGGTGTCCTATTTTGGCACCGATTTTGGGTGATTTTATCTGTTTTATCTTTGATTTTGTTAATTTTAGAGATGTATATTTTCTTTAGTTACTCGAAGTTGCATATTTTAGTTTTTTTGTTGGATTGTTCGGTAATTAGTCATATTTGTTGGTTGACAAATGCGGTATTATTAGGTACCAGGAGTTTCATTTGTTTGGTCTAATTTGCTAAGTAATATACCTGTAAAGGAGTATTGTATACTCGAAATATGTTTTTACGTACTCCTGATAAATTGTGATAAACTTTTAACTAAATTATAGATTTGGATAATGTGGACTGATGAAATTTACTTACAAGCTAGGGAATGAGTAAAAATCGGTAATCAACCGATTTGCATTACCATTCTTCCACAACGAGGTGGGGAAACTCAAGCAACACATGATGGACGAACACATCACAACCATCTCAATGACTCAGTTCGGGCATTTTTGGAACTGTCCGAAGATGAAGTTTATGTGGCACCGCCTTCTTGCCCTCGTTAATAACTTTGGTTCGGAGTCTACGTGGTTCAAAATCGGAACTGACATTGAGCTGCAATTTGAAGTTGAGGAATATTTTGTAGCCTTGGGATTACATGAGAAAGGAGTCTACGTGATGGACAACACATCTGTCGAAAGTGAATGGTTTATTTGGATTTTTGGGAGCAAGCTGCGTTCTATAACCCGTGGCGAGGTGTTGTAGAAGCTGCGTGAGGCTCTATTGCAGGGGTTGGAGCCTCTATCTGTTGTGGATGTTGCTCGTCTCTTTAGTTTGCTTATTTTTGCAAATATTTTATTTTGTTCTACGAATTATTCTGTACCCATTTTTTTTTTTTGTTACCGTATGTGGATGACCTGACTGCGATTGGTGACTATGCGTAGGAACCTGCAAGTCACCGATATCTCTTGAAGTCTATAAGCGACTTTAAGTTCAGAAAGAAATATTTGACAGGTTGCACAGTCGGTTTGTTGGTAAGCAACGTAATATCGGATTTGTTAATTTTTTCTACTTATTTTTGTATATTGCAAAATATGTCTATTACTATTATTGTTGGCAGTAATGAGATTATTATTATGTGCAGGCTTGGTTCAATGAAAGAGTCCTAACTTTGGACAAGGCAAGGTGCCTTCCGAAGGTACCGCGACTCTTTCGGTGGCTGAACAGCCTTGGTCCGATGTCCATGGTTCATGCAGTGACTGAATTTTCATCCTTGAAGCAGTCAGATATTTAGGAATTTTATCGAATAGGCACCGAATAGAAGTTTGTTCGTGCAATTTGCCATGCTTCAGAGGTAAATGCATTATTCAATGTTGCTACCATTGTAAATGGATAAAATAATTTCTTATATGACATTATTAAAATATGCTGCAAGAAGTAGCTCAGAAAATTGCGGCATTGAAGGTGGAGCTGCGGAAGAAAGACGCTGCAATTGCGAGACTTGTTCGTAAATTGCAAAGAGCTAGAGCTGGTGTTGTCGATGACGACAGTGAAGGTGAGTGCGAGGATGAGAGTTATTGTGACGAGGAGGGTGACGCAAACTATGGGGAGGAGATAGCAGACCGGATGGATGTGGCGTTAGAAAGGAAACAATTGCACGAGGATGAGGAAGATCAGACCGAGAAGGATTCGGAGGAAGAGAAGCACGGTGAGGAGGATGAGAAGCAGGCCGACGGGAAGGAGAAACATGGTCTGGAGGAGAAGAAGTAAACTGAGGATGAGGAGAGTCAGGCTGAGGAGGATCCCGACGAGGTAGCGGAAGAGCGAGTGAATACCGAACGACGAAGCAAAAACAAAATGGACATTCTTTTTGCCCAAATTGATCCGATAAACAAGTCAGATGATGAAGGGGTTGGTAGCCTGCAAGAGTTTAACCAACTGATGGCCATTGTTCCGAATATTGCACCGCAAGATGTCAAGGTAAGTTAATTAATATAGTAAGTACATTTTGTAGGTAATAGTTGTCTATCTGTTGAATGATTGTTTGCTCTGTTGAAATCGTAGCCGGCCGATGAGTCCGGCGTAAGACTTGTAGCAGGGCCGCAGATTCACCAATTGTACGTGTTGTAATGACATGTAAGGAGCGGAAGAGAAAAAAGAAGCCTGAATTTGTGACACCTGTGTCGACACCGCGAATTAAGAAAGCCAAAAAATCACAGAGAGCAAAAGGAAAGTCAGCGGCCGACGTCAATAATGAGCAGGTACGTAGTTTGATACAAATATCAGTCGTCTGGCTTAAAATACTTCGGAAAGATTCTTAAATACCCAGTGTTTTTGAGTTAATACTTGTACAATAAATAAAGATACCTACAAAAACATGATTATCTTCATTGTTGGTTCATGAACCATTTGTCGTCGGCGACGATGGGGACTTGGATGCTACCGTTGGAGCAGACCCTGAAGTACAAAAGTGGGAGAAATATCGCAATAACGACAGGTACTGTGGGAAGGGTACCTTATCTGAGGATGAGATGAACACCATTGAACAATTTCTCGCATCATTCGCCGTCCGGTATTGCTATTCACTATTACGGCTTTATATATTTTTCTCAATTGATATTTTTATCTGTTTGCGGCTATCATTTTGTAGGGACACTGTATGGTAGCAGGGCATCGTGTCCATCTCGTCCGATGCCGTTCTAGAAATACTGTTTGTCGAAGCTGTGAAAGGCGAATTGATCGACGCGTACTTACATCATCTATGCAGCAGTGAATACCAGATCCAACACAATCCGCAGGTGCGGTGTGGTTGTGTGCCATGGTTCGTAGCGGTGAGTATTCTATTTGGAATTTATACGGTTAGTATTACAAATCACACCGTTATTATTGCTTTGGTTGCTTTGTTTGATTTTCAAAAAGCTGTGAACAACGTGCTATCACGACCAAGTAGGGGAGCGAAAAAGCCGACCATCAATAGGGGTAATGTGCTCGCGTTTATCAACTCGCTGCAAGTGACCGTAGGCCAAGAGATTGCCGAAATCATGGACAAAATTCGATCTGGGTTCGGGTACATATTTCTACCAGTACACACCTGGTTTCACTGGCATCTCTGCATATTGGATACCGTCAATCGAATTGTGATAGAGTGTAACCAATGCGCGCCCCCTTCGGCCAGGGGAATGCAAAGAAATTGGTACATCTGTGGAATAATTATAATTAATTGTCTATGGGTAGACTGAATTCCTTAATAAAAGAGTAACTTTATTTGTGCAGACGCAATTTTTATCGTTGTACATGAACGCGGCACAACTATGGCCTATGGTCAGCGACATGCCCGAATACATTAGATGTCGACACCAGGGTGAAACGCTAGACTGTGGACCTTTAGTCTGCATGTTCGCAGAGTGTTATGCGCTGGCGGGTCCAGATGTCAATCTCGTGGGCGTCCTCGGCGAGGACTTTGGCGATGTCAAGAGCTACCGAGGCACGATTGCGGCGAGGATATTAGAAGGTCCCCCATCAGATTCGTAGACCCCGATGGAAATATAGGGCAGGTTAACACATGTAATGAATTTAGATTGATTTGGGAAGTTGTTGCATTGTGTGGCGAGGTTATGGAATTGTTTAATGTTTTCAATTTGGATTGATCTGGTAAGTTCTTGTGTTGTGTGGCGAGATGATGGAATTGGTTAATGTTTTCAATTTGGATTGATTTGAGAAGTTCTTTCCTAGTTAGGGCGAGGTGATGGAATTGGTTAATGTCTTTTATGTGGATTGTTTTGGGAAGTTCTTGCCTTGTGTGACGAGGTGATAGAATTGGTAAATGTCTTTTATGTGGATTGATTTTGGAAGTTCTTGCCTTGTGTGGTGAGGTCATGGAATTGGTTAATGCCTTTTATGTGGATTGATTTGGCAACTTCATTATATACCTGCGTTCTGTATCGATACCCATTGATAGCTTTTATGTGCCTACGCTAAACTAGTATGTACTTCCATTTATATATTACATGCTCCAGTCACCTATGTTTTTTAGATCGGCCTTTTCTTTTGCACTGATCACTGAAATAGTGTTCACTTTGAATAAGTTAAACCGTGTCGGCGTTTCTCGTGAAACCCTATTGGACGGCATATTTTAATCGACCGGTGAAACTGCAAGGGTTTGCCCGTTAATTGAAATAAAACACTATGAAAACAACATGATAATATAACAACAAAATATTTGTGCGGGACATGGGTGTCTGGTAATTGCGTGTATGCCAATGTCTAATCAACAATTATAAGTCCATATTATAATAAACTATTTCCTGCAGAGTGCTAAACAACACGTGGTTACTGTGGTGTGCTACTAAAACAGATACCCGCGTACGCAATCTGTGTACCTCGTTCAGATGCATACATAACGAAGTTATTAATACAAATACCCTATATTATCTATTATGTACCTACGACAATAGCTTTTATACTTCCGTTATGATTTCAAATGCTCTGGTAACTTGTGGGTGGGGACTCGGCCTTTTCTCTTGAAATATTCACCAAATGAAGCTAAGAGTGTATTGGCTTAACTATGGTAGTGTTTCTCGTCAACTTCATAATATTGTATGGCGTCTTTTAGGCCGCAGATAAAACTTACAGTGTTTACCCGTTAATTGAATTAAAACACAATGGAATAGACATGATAATATAACCACAATATAGTTGTGTGGCACGTGGAAGTCTGGTACTTAGTTGTGTGCCGAGTTTTGATCAATACTACACCTCCAAGTTATTACACGGTAATACAATTTAAATACTGTAGAAACAACATAAGATCTGGTTTGTACTCGGACCACAACCTTTATATGTTGGAATCATTAATGTATATACCCTCTGCAAGTTACTGCATACTTAAAACAACCGTGACATTATACTTCCTTGCGATTGTGTATGCCCTGGTTACCTGTGGCTGGGGAAATGGTCTTTATTTTTTTACTTGAAATAGCATGTATTTACTACTGATGGTTAAAGAAGGCATCAACAAATACCTAAGTTGTATGACATGTGTAGTTGGTTAGTATGGCGAGTTTAATACAAGCTAGACTATTTTATATATGGTTCAGTCCTATTCGTGTACGTGGTTACGATGTGTAAGAAGTGGTTGCACATAGCAACAACGACGAGATTTAATCAACAACTATAACTCTTAGTAATAACCAAAAAATAGAATATAAATTCATTCTAAACAATTAGATATTACATTAACCATCCGTCCCTACAGAGCTACATCATCAAATGCCTCAGCACATAAAAAATATACCTACAGAATATAACTACGAACCTCCACAACTTCATTATATACCTGTGTGAGAGGGCTACATACCACTTACTACGGCAAATAAGTTAGCGGATCCAACCGGTTATATCCTAGAGACACAAAAAATAATTATAATATACCTATTGAATACATACCTACTGTCTTAATATATACTCTTGGAAGTCAAAAAGATATACAATGAAAAACATGTTCGCTAATCTATTCGTTGCTTGCAACTTCTTCTATTATGTCCCAGACACCCACAACGACCACATTTTCGTGGATTCTTTACCTGTTGGGACTCGAATCGTCGCTTCTTTGGCCAGCCTGGTTAGACGAACGATGGAGGAGGGTGAATTCGGTCCGCTTGAATTTCAACAATCACGTCCATATCATGCATCAGTACGGGATTTATTGTTCCTAGTATGTTTTTCTGTAGCATTCAATGCTATAGCAAAGATCGCAAAAATCATAAATTGATATATTGCATTTTTCAATGCAAGCGCAGGAATGCTTGCAAGACAGTATGAACATTTTCCATTCTCGACACAAGCATTTTCGCGCCTCCAAATCGACTGCGTATCTTTCATTACAATCTGTTACCTCGAATACAGTTCTAGAGGATGAGTTGCACTGTAGCCGTCGAGATGCCATGTACGATAGTGCCAACTTACTTTCCTGTTTTGGATAGAGCTTCCCGTGCATTATCTCCCACTTTTCGCGGCGTTCATTCATCATTACCATCATTTACCTTTTAATGGTATCCAACATCCCAACGAATGGCATTGACCTCGCGGATCTCACCCAGCTATTCCATGACTCAGCAATTTTATTATTTGATATTTCCCAACGAGTGCCTCTGAATATTGAATTTGCCCAACATTTAGGGTGTGATTGGGTAATGAAGTCCCGGGCCAATGGCATCGATTCGACCACAGAGCTAATGTGGTTTTTGAAATCTCTCCTCAACAGAGCATATGCGGCCTTGTTGAAGACAGCAATCCATCGTTTCTTATTATGCATTGGGTATCTCCCCGCATAACCTAAAAAAAGATATTTCTTAGCTGATCATAACTATTGGTGTTCATTAAAAATTAATATTGACGTACATATACCTAGGTACGGAAGTTGTCCACTAGGTATCAGAGACAGTACGTATGATGTGCTCCCGGAAAGACGCACGGGATTGACTTTAGTAAACCTGAGTGCCGATCCGAGAAGAATGTGTACTGTTTCCAATCTGTACGTTCCTCACATTCTAAAATAGTTCGTAGCTTCCAGTAAACCACTTCCAATTTTCATCATTTTCCGTAGACACCGCTGCAAGTCAACAAATAAGAACACAAATAACTACAAATTTTTCCGGCGTACGAGGGTACATACGTGCCTAAAGAGAGCATACCGGAATGCTTTAAGGGTATTCGAAACAATATTGCAGGTAAATATTTAACAAACAAGAGATCGTATGGATAACAACAGA